CAAACCAAAGGCAAATACTGCTAGAGGGAAGATTTTCATTGCTGATTTAACCAAACACATGCCTGGATCTCTAAGGAGTCGGGGACCCTAATTCATCTGCTTAGCAACAGCACAGAATATCAACAAAATTTAAGCACTTCTTCACAGGGAGTTAGATACTTAAAAACAAACAAACAAACAAACAAAAAACTAAGCAAAATTCTAGTCAGGTACATTCCTAAATCACTGGCGGTCCCCAGTAAAAGTATAGTCAGTAGCAAAGCAGGACTTTAACTACTGAATTGCATCAAAGTTTCTGATCTCCATAATCAGTGGAGACTCAGCTACCACCACAAGCAGGAGCAGCCTGTAGAAAGGAAACCTTCACATGACCTAAGGTAGTGCTGCTTTCCCACTCAAGCGCTCCCTACTGAGCAGGGTGAACTCCTAGCCCTACCACCTATGAAAGCCCAGGTGTCTCCAGTTTCATCTGTTAAATTCCCTAAAATTAATGGGATTTAATTGTAATGCAATATATTTCCAATTTTACTTTAATATGATAATCGCCAACATTTACTGAATGCTAACTATTTGGCTGGTGCTGGCTAAGAATTTTACATAAGTGACCATATTGACTTCTGACACAGACTCTCTCCTTTGACCAAAACCTTCATCAGGCTCCTCTGAGTTCCCTGCTTGACTAGGCCTGAACTTGGGCTTCCCTCTCTGCCCTTCTTGAATCCAGTTTGAACAAGAATCCTAAGTCCTTTTAGAAAAAATCCCCCTTCCTGGGCATCTAACCATACCTCCAATATCTTAATCCCCTGGCCTGCCTTCAGCAAGAATCCTGACAAGTCAGCTTAGCCAGAAACCCCTTATCCTTGATATTTCTTTGTAGTACAGCTGACTCTTGAAGAATACAGGGGTAAAGGGTGCCAACTCCCGCAGAGTTAAAAGTCAACATGTAATTTTTACTTTCACCAAGTTTGACTACTTATAGAGCACTAGAGGAGCAGAAGCCTTACCAATAACATACAACAGTTGTTTAACACATATTTTGTATATTATATGTTATATACTGTATTCTTACAATTATGTAAGCTAGAGAAAAGAAAACGTTAAAATCATAAGGAAGAGAAAATCTATTTACTCTTCATCAAGTGGAAGTGGATCATCATAAAGACCTTCATCCTCCTCATCTTCATGTTGAGTAGGCAGAGGAGGAGGAGGAAGAAGAGGGGTCGGTCTTGCTGTCTCAGGGCTGGCAGAGGCAGAAGAGGTGAAGGAGGTGTAAGAGGGGGCAGGAGAGGCACGCACACTTGAGGTAATTTTTATTGAAAAAAAAACCCATGCATAGGTGAACCCACACAGCCCAAACCCTTGTTCAAGGGTCAACTGCAATCCTCCATGCCCTGACCCCACTCTGCCACTTGGTTACAAATCCCCAGTTGTCCTTGTAGGAGCTGGAGTCTCTCCCTCACTGTGAGATCTCATTGCGGTCACTATGCCCACTACCATGTCCCTCTTTGATAAAGTCTGCCTTACCATTTTTGTTAACAAGTATGTAGATAAATTTCTCTTTAACAGTTCTAACAATAATAGACATTACTTCTGTTACCATTTTACAAATGTAGAAACTTCAGCTTACAGAATTTAGTAATTAACTTTGTATCCTTGGAAATATACATATAATAATATAATATATAATTATATTAACAATCATTAACACAGAGATGGAGTTCAAGCCCACACAAATTTCTAGTTATCCTCATCCACTATATTATACTATAATGTTTTAAATAACTTTTAGTTAAATTAGTTGACTCTTCCTCCTCAATTACCTTAGGCAGTGGTTAGCAAACCCTTTCTGTAAAGGGCCAGATCATAAATATTTTAGGCCTGTGGACCACAAAACAGTATTTGCCAGTGACAACTACTCAATTCTGCCATTGCAGTAGACAATATATAAATGAATGTGTGTGCCTGTGTTCCAATAAAACTTTATTTACTAAAACAAGTGGTGGGCTAGCTTCAGGCCACAGTTTGTCAACCCTTGATATAAGGACAATTCATGTTTCAGACCAACATGCTACCTTGTCCTGTGGTTTTACATAATCTGTTTGGGAAGAACAAATAAAAAAAAAAGGTTAAAAAAAAAAGGCAGACATTAATACCAAAAGCTAAGGGAAAGAGGCTTAATTTTTCCTTTAACTTTTACCAACCAATCTCAAGATGACAAGAGACATATGTGACTCTCAGTCTCTCAGTCATGGGTTCTCTGCCCCACTGGGCCTCTTCTCAGCCTCAGGATCCTTTCTTCCCCTTCAGTGTGATTTCCCTCATCTAAGTGGTCATGCCTCATTTTTCCATCCAATTGGGACCATACCCCTACAGCCACGTGAATTTCCTAGCTATCCCTTTATATATTTTTATGTGATAGCTCTATGCCTTTGTCCATGCTAAAAAAGTTGTCTCACTCTCTCCGTTAACTGATTCCAACAGATTCTTTAAAAAATTCTTCACTGCATTCTTAGTTCAAAATGATCCTTTGATTCACCTTATAATACACATCATTTCCAAACATGCTAGCCATATCTACATATTTTGTTCTGATGTTGGCTCATTTTTTTCCAAATATTATAATGCTAGTAAAGTAAAAGAATTAAGAGAATAGCTTAAGAGTTCAGTGTCACTGGATATAACTGTAACTGACAAAAGTAATAATTGACGTTAAAGATTTAACTTTGTTTTCATGTTCTGAATGATGAGAGGAAGGTGCAGCCTTCCCTTTCATAAGATGTGGAAGCTAAAGGTTATTCAATAATTTGGGTTTTTAACTTTGGGTATCAAAATCAAGAAGATGAGGTAGGAAAAAATTATGGGGACACAAAAATGTCTAAATAGCCTGGGCGTGATGGCTCATGCCTATACTCCCAGCACTTTGGGAGGCTCAGGTGAGTAGATCACTTGAGATTAGAAGTTTGAGACCAGCCTGGCTAACATGGTGAGAATGCTGTCTCTGCTAAAAATACAAAAAAATTAGCCGGTCATGGTGGCACATGCCTGTAATTACAGCTACTCGAGAGGCTGAGGTGAGAATTGCTTCAACTGAGAATCGCTTGAACGTGGGAGGCAGAGGTTGCAGTGAGCCAAGATCATGCCACTGTTCTCCGGGCTAGACAACAAAGAGAGACTCCATCTCAAAAGCAAACAAACCAAACAAAAATAAAATGTCTAAATATACTAAAATGATATACATAAAATAGAATATGAATGACATTACCTATTCACGTTAAGAAAAATGTTTCTCAAGTAATTTAGCTGAAAAGGATAAGATATTAAAAATCTTAATTTTTTCTGCATGCTACCAAGATCTTCACTGAGACGCCTTAGTAGGAAGAAAAATAAAGAAACGTATCCTTAAGTACAACGTGGTCCTTTCTCATTAATTCTTAAAAGCTGTTGTTCTCTCACTCATCCTGGGGTCGCCTCACTTTTCCTTCTGCTGGTGGCAGCTGTGTCTTATGTGGTAACAGGGTCCTCTCTGTGATTTCTTCACTTCATTTCTAAAGAAGCCTCACAAGGTCATCTTTGTTCTTTTTTTTATTTTACCTGGTAGATGCTTGTGGTTTATGTCTCTCAAATCTACTAGTAATAATATACTCCAATTTTAAAAATTGTCTTAACAAAAGAGAATTTGAAAATGCTATCTAAAGAACCTCTCTTATGAAATGATCTTATAAACTACACGGAATTTAACTTTTAAACAAGTATTCAGAGTGGTTTCATTGTTCTCAGTGAGAAGAATATGATGGGGAGTTAATGTCTTTTAAAAAATCACATACACAAACAAAAATTGACAGTTAAATAAATATGGCAAATAGTGCATCAACTGCATGCCCAAAAATGCACAATATACAGTCACATATTAGGGACTTTAAGAAAGCCTGAACAAAGAAAGCTGTTTAACATTCTAACAGTATTCCCCAAACTTGTCTGACCCCTGAAATTTTTACCCCCTAACACCTGAACACCTGTTACCATCTCTTAGAACTACTTCGTGGAAAAAAAAGCCAAGCAATCTTTTAGATAGTTAATTAATAGTTCATTAAATTAAACAGACAGTTTAACATTTCAGCCACATCCTGACGAATTTCTTCCTATCCTTCTGGAAATTCCTAATATGATAATATGGCTGAATATGTCCACATTAATAAATGCTACAAAGAAATATAAGAAGCTATGACTTGGAACTATTTACCAATGCAACATTATAACTTTACCATGATCATGGTGGAGCCTAACCCTGATTTTGTTAAGTAACAGTGTGACTCTGGGATAAAGTGATTTAAGCCTCTGTGCTTCAGTTCCTTTATATCTAATGTGGGGTTAGGTTTGCCCTGTCTTCTCAGTTGGTATATTTTGAGAATCAGGTGATTAAGATCAGGATCAAAATCAAGAAGAATTTTTCATAAACAGTGAAGTGTTATAAAAGCATCAAGAGTGTTATAAAAATACAAAAAGTAGTACTTCCAGTACAGTATCTATTTCCTTTACATAGAACTATAATAAATGCTGTTGTGATTTCTTCTTTCTTGAATTGACTAGATCACTGTCTTATAATTGTGAAATACCTGATTTCACTTAGAGAGAAAATTAATTTTTGCTCAATCATTGTATCATAATAATGTATCATTGAACTTTTCAGAAAACACATGGCAAAAACAAAAAGATCAGAAAACTCTGTTTAACACAAGAAGAGATGTATTGCAAAATAGTTTGTCAGCAGTGCCACCTCACTCTGGGCTCTCTTACGAACTCTTCTGCGGCAGCCCTTCAATCCCAGTGAATGAAGACAGTAGGGCTCTATATTCTTTGCGTCCTTCATTAAACTATTGATCCCTTCAGCATTATCCATAATGTTCCAGCAGCTCAGCACGTCAACTGGTGAAGTGCTAGTCTCTCTCTCCCTTCAATAACTTCCACGCTTTATGGAGAGGAAGTCACAATGATTTATTTACCTGACATTTTCCAGTCCGGATGTCGTACAGGGCCACTGAACCATGGCGAGCTCCAACTGCTATTCTGTGATTCCGCTCATAGTAGCTGACCATGTAGAACCTGAGTTGAAATTTTAACGACAAAAACAAGAAGCCAGGTGAGATAACCTATACATGGAGGTGGACGGCAACATTTCAAAGGTTAAAGCCAGCTCTGATATACATTTTGAAGTAAATGTATCTATAATATGTTATGATTTTTCAAAAATGTTTCATTTTAGTAATTCTTGAAAATCAACTGAAAGAACAATGACATACAATATCGCTTTGGCCTCTTAATAATTATTTTCAACAGAAAACAACTTATAATCACAAACATGCTTGAATTTTTGAAACAAGAAATAAGGGCCAAATACAAAAAGATTATTTATGAAAATCTGGTTTTGCTACAGTGACTATTATGCAAATATTTCTATTTGAATAGAAATGGAAAAGATGAAAAGGGTTACATATTCCATGTAATTATGTTCTCCTGGTTTATTACAGTATTAAAGAGTAATATATACTTTCTGGCAGAACAATCATACAAAGCCTACATAAAATTTATGCTTAAGTTCATATCCGTAATTTAGAGTAAAATTAGAAAGCTATCCATCAGAAAAAGTTATCCTGTCAAGTTCCCCTGATTTCCCATGTTTACCAGCTTATCTAAATGATAGCTGTGGCTTTTAGCAGTATGAATAATATTTGGTGCTTATTTTGTATTGCATAAAAACAGGATTTAGTGAGGATGGTTTGAAGATTATAAGAGATTGATTTATTATTTATTTTTATTTTTCTAGATTAATTTTCATGATGAGGTTAACTATTTGAATTCCTTATGTGTGCATTGCCATACTGATTTCATGTCTATATGGCTAGGGCCTGAAGGTAAGAATAAAAATTATTAGAAGTCTAAATAAGAAATGATTTTATATCTGCAAAGAGTTTTGAATATAGCTTCCCATTATGTAGTCCTATTGTCTCGGTGTGAGTTGCCCAGATGAACAGGTGGTGTGTACCCTAAATATATAGGAGGAGTTGCATCAATTCTACTGTACATTCCTTGTCTTTTTCTCTTTGGTTCCTTAATACCAAACTAACTTTTCTGTTAATATTTATATTTTATAAGGGGGAAGGGGCAAGCAAAGCATGACAGAAAAAGAATCTCATTTATCTAATGCTTTCTTGAGGTAAATATACTAAGGCATGGGACAGCATTTCTGAAATTCTAGTAATACAGGCTGAGAGAGCCAAGATGTTTGAATGTGGGAGAACTCTCAAACCAGTGATATTCTGACAAAGCCATTTGGCATTAGCAGACACTATGACATTCATATATATTTCACAAATCTGGAAAACAAGCCATTAAATTTTTAAACTTTTGTTACTTATCACCAAGTAATATACTGAACAAGATGTTTGTGCCATCCCTAAGCCCCGCTGAATAACCAACCTCTTCCCCTTTAGTGGAAGGTTAATGCTTCATTTTTTTTTTTTTTGAACTTTTAGTAACAGGAAGGAAACTACTTTAGTGTGTCCTGCTGGGTGGATTTTATGAGCTCATGACTGGCACTCTCCTCTTTCTACATTGGTTTGAGAGAAGGAAGCATACAGAAAGCTCCCAAAACATGTGAAGCTTCCCTGGCTATTAAGTGTTTAGGAAAAAGCTAGTTTCTCAAAGCTCTTCTTGCCCAAAGAATATTATTCTACCTTAAGAGAGAGTGGGAATCAGCATGCAAAACCTACCATTCTCACGCTTGAAAATGAAAGTGATTTAGAAGAGCTTAAAAAACATTTACGATTTTGTTATTCAATAATTACAGTGTGTAAGTATTGGGCAGCACTGTATCTATATGCCCATACCCACATCTATATTTATACACATATACTCATGAATAATTTATCTCCTATTTGAGTACATGGAATATAATATCTAACAAATGTTTTAGCAAATATTTATTCTGTGCAGGTTAATCGGCATAGGAAAATACAATTTGCAGTGGTCTTTTGTTTTACCTATTATTTGCACAAATTTAATAACTATATTGCCAACATCCTTCTGCAAAACTGAAAATAATCACCTCTAAAATAACCCTCTTCAAAACAATACATTGGTAAAATATACTTGTGTTGACGAAATCTTACTTAGTGAAACTGGAATCCAAAGAGGTTTTGTTACACTGCCCATTTTCTATGCTCTGGATATCAAACTCATCCTTCTATATCATCTACAAACACCATTATTTATGGCAGAAGGAAAGATCAAATCTATTCTTAGAATCAAATCTTTACTCTGCCTGAAAGGGCCATATATATTACAGGTCTGCATTTTTCATTCTTTGGAATTTACTACAGGACTAATACTTGTAAACAATAAAAGAATTCTGGACACTGAAGGTCTTAAGGCATGTTTTAATCTTAGGATTTCTTGTTTAACTTTTTATTCCTTTAGCAGTGGCTTGCTTAACAGAAAGAATCAGTGGTATGTACGCAGTCACTTCCCAAGTATCCACCATGGGAACCAGCTGCAGTGAACTGATCCCTGCTGAGGCTTCCGGAGCCCACCATACTCCTAGTCTACTCTTTCCTCGAGCCAGTCCTCCTCGTAGGGTCTGTCAAGATGAAGGATGGTAGATATGCATTACTTGCTTCCTGACTTGAAAGGATCAATGGATTGAAGAGAAGGGTCCATTACAGTTTTTAAAGCTGTCCTTTTCTAATCTTGACCAATCTTGCATGACTGGATTTTTCCTAAGGGATGAACATTCCGCTAAAATTTGGGGGTCTCAGAGTAAGGGTTCTTGTGTCCTGAGCTTTCTGGAAATGGTACCTCAGTGTCCAGTTCACTGTATTGATAACACGTCACTTAGACAGTTGGTCATGACCTGGCAAGAATCCTTTTTTAATATTGATGTTTGAACAACAGTTCTCCTCTGCCAGGCGGACCACAAGAAAACTGTGAAGCCAGAGAGCACAGCACCACTCAAATCAGTGAAAGAAGAATAAAGTAGAAATGGGCAATGATGTAAAGTGTATTTCTTGCTGGAGCTGAGGTGGTCATCAACAAGTTGAAAGTCACTGATCTCTAGGCTTTCATCATTGCCCATATGCAGTCAGAGTAACTTTTCAACAATAAATCAAATCACCTCTCTTCTGTTCACAACCTTCCTTCAGGGTCTTAGCAACTCCTGCCTTTGTTCATGCCGCTCTAGTCACAGTGATCTCCTTGCACTTTCTTAAATATGCCAAAGGGGGTTCCCATTTTGGATTTTGACAGTTGTTGCCCTCTCTGCTTGAAAATCTCAGCCTGTTACCACTGTTGCTCATGCCCTCACTTCATTTAGGTCTCTGTTCCAAAGTTATCTTGACCAAGGAGGCCTTTATGGGCCACCTTAACACAACAGTCCTTTACCCATTACTTTTAACCCAGTACCCTACTTTTTCTTTATTATGCCCATCACCATTAAGACATTAAACAACGATTTTTATTTATTGCTTTTTATCCTCCATCAGGGACTTTGTGTTTTGCATGAATACATAAATATGGTCCAAACAAATAGGATGCAACAGTAAGTGAAGTTTGAAACATTACACTTATCCTTCAGTCACCAGTGCATAATCTATGCTAAATATGGATTTTTATGACTAATGGATATTCTATAGGGTCTAAAATAATCACTGAGATGAATAACAAAGGAAACAAAAACTGTCCAAAAACGGCAGAAATCAAGAAACAGGCTCTCCCATGACCCTTCTAGAAATGTATTTTCAATTGAGACAAAACAATTGTAGATTTACAAGAAGTTATCTGTAAAGGCTCCTGGAGTCTGGGTACCTTAGCATGAGACTGACAGTTATATAATAAAAATATGTAATTATATATTAGGGAATTAGAAAAGATTGCATGAGCTGAAATTCAAAAAGGTAAATACAAATAGTCTAAATAATAATATACACAATAAAATATATTTTCAATCTAAATGTTGTCCTGGTTAAAAAAAAATGATTCTAAGAATTTGCCAAAGATTTATATCAGCACACAAAAATTTCAATAAAAATGGTATCATCACACAAAACATAATTAACAGATCATAGTTTATCAATCATTATTAACTATTACTAGAACAGATTATTGGGGAGGAGTGACACAATCCAGTTCTTTTAAGATGTATTTGTGACTTCAACTATTGAGGAGCAACTCACAGTGGGGTGTACAAACCCCAGAGAGGGACGGTTTGAGTTAGAAATACTAATATGAACTGAGTCTACTCTGGCACAGCAAATCACTTTGAAGCACACTATGTTGCTTGGGAGTTTGCCAAATACCAAGTGCCTGAGTTTCTAAACAACTTTGGCACTCCCTAGTCATACTTTTCCTTGAATTGATGAATTTTTAATCTTTATCAAAAATGGTCGCCAAATAAGAGAAAATGTGTGTAATTTAAAAGTTAATTTGAAAAAAGAAATAGAAAACATGCAACTCTCAGCAGAATTAGGACTTGGGAGAAAGATGGAAACCTGTAAAATCACTTCAACTATGTTCGGTCATTTGCAATGATCTCAGGATGTTAAGTTACTGCTATATATCATTTCCTTGAAAATTAGAATGCAACAAGAAACACTCTTCAGTTAATCCAAGATTAGCCTCCAGTTTCACATGAAACCACCTTAAATCTTAGCATATACAGAAAATAATATAGGGAATACAACTATCCTTTTTTTTGCCCCCAAAATAATATCACAATGACTACTATGCGCAGCTAACATTTACTGAGTATTATGTATCAGGCACTGTCCTAAGTATTTGTATATGTATTTTCATAAGTAACTGAGGTATTATGAGTAATTTTTGTGAAGCTGTTTTTGGAAATTCTTAACATTGATTTAAAATGGTTCACAAAATTTGACTGTTTTTCTTAAGAAAATATCAAGGCAATATATACTTGTAAAAAACTCAAAACACACCAATATATGTAGAATAAAAAGTAAGTCTTTCCTTTCAAGTCCCTACCCCACCAACAGTAACTGCTGTTAACTATTTACTGGATCTTCTGAGAGCTTTTTCTACCTTTTTTTTTT